CGGGGCGCGGAGGGGCTGCTTGCTAAGCCTGATGGGTACCAGCGACCCGCTCGCTTTCACACCCTGCCGCCCCGCTCTGAAACCGAAATCGATGAGCACAATGCCGGGAATACTCAATTCGTTTCCAGGTTTCTTTGCTGTTCTTTAACTTTCGGTAACAAATCCGCTGTCCCATGCCTCCGCCTGAAGGAAAGGTGTGTCATTTTGTAAGAGCATCGTTCTTTTTTATTTATTTTTTTGCTATAGGGCGCGTGCGCTCGCCAGGGACAGAGACAAAGCGAGAAATCACCTCCCAGGGGGGATGGCCACGCCGCAATCCCTTCTCCATTCTCCTCTCGGGATCCTAGCTTAAACACCCGCCCGGCATGAGTTTAACCCACCGGGTCCGGGACTCGAACCGGGTTTGACTACATGTAAGTCCAGTGACAGCCATTACGCTGACTGCTGGTCCCCTGATCCATTGTCTTTTTGTGGTGGTGTTTTGGAAGGACCCTAAAGTTCCACCCTCTTAAACCATAACTCTCTGAATGCAAGTCCTTAAGATATGGTCAGCCCTGGGAATAAGGGTTGTTAGAGTTTCCCCGCCTCTCATCTGTTTTTCTTCATCTTGAGCCGGAATGGGAAAGTTACCCTCTACATTGAAAAACCTTGGGAACCAGTAGTTAGCGTAATGGCTATGTCGCTGGACTCCCACGTAGTGGACCGCGGTTCGCGTCCTGGACCCGGTGGCTTAAAACTCACACCATGTGTGCGCGTGCCCAAGATCCCAGGAGGACAGTGGATTGCGGCGTGGCCATCCCTTTCTCGCTTTCTGTCTCGTCTGGCGAGCACAAGCGCCCTATAACAAAAATCTCTCCAAAAAAAAAAAAAAAAGAAAAACCTACAAGAAGCAAGTTAGCAGATTAAAAGTATTCTGATTTTTCAAGTAGGCAGATTTCCCTTCTTTGGCTAGAGCGTGCTTACTCGCTGGATAGAGCAGCAATTCCTTCTCCATTTTGTTAGGATGTTGGAAAAACTAATTTTATTTCACTATTTTTTGTTTTTCAAAAAGTTTTCGCCATAGGGCAAGACAGAGATAGAAAGCAAGATATCACCCCCCCCTCACACCCGGGTGGGATCCATACTGTAGTCCCTTCTCCTCCATTCTCCTCTCGGGATCTATGGGTGCGCATGTGCCCGGTGTGAGTTTAAGCCACTGGGTCTGGGACTTGAACTGCAGTCAACTACATGGGAGTCCAGTGACATAGCCAGTAAGCTAACTGCTGATCCTTGAGCTATTTTTAAATTTGATCAGAGAGGGACAGTGAGAGAGAAAGCAAAATGCCAGGTCCAGGACTCGAACAATGGTCAGACATGTGGGAGTCCAGCCCCCTTAACCACTACACAACCTGCCGGCCCCTAGGATTTAGGACACGCTAACACACGTGCCCAGTGTTTTTGAATCTGATATAGGGTGCATATGCTAGAGGGTGCTGAGACAGGGAGAAACACCTTCCCTGGGGGGATGGATAGCCATGTTGCAATTTCCATTCTTTTAGGTTGGCTCGCATGAACGCAGATACACCCATCCAGTTTCAAGTCGGTGGGTCCTTGGCCATGGGGATCCAGCCGAGCTGCCAGGGCCTAGATTCAGTCATGGGGAATCTGGCTCTTTTACCAGCAGACCCCAAGCCAACCCTCACTTGGTGGCAGATTTTAAAAATGTTCCTTCCACCTTGCAGGATATTGAGAAAGGTACTGGTGCTCTGCAGTAATTCCAATACATCTGGAATGTTGTTTAGCAGTTATGACAAAAAGCTTTAATAGCTATCAGATTTAATTTATAGCAGAAATTTATTCTATGCAAGTAACAAGAAAAACAATTTTATATACAAAATGGTCACCCCAACAGTAGCATAACAGTAAATAAAATCCAACATACTATAATACATGACACTGATTAGGCTGAAAAATTTAAACTATATGCATAGAAATATACAGGAGTAAAATCCAAACTATTATTGTCTTTGGTTAACTTTATATAACCATTAATCTGTATTACTTTTACACTGAACTATATATTTTTATTATAAAAAGCTATAAAGCACCTTTACTTTTTTCAAAATGTTGATTAACCACATTACATTATTCCCAGGACTTAAGTAGGTCAAGTATTTAGCTAATATTATAGATGGGGTACAAGCTACAAGAATGTAGGACATACAGTTTTTTCTAGCACTGCCTCCCCACTCCCCTCATGCCTGGCTCAGATTCCTGC